AAAAAAAAAATGTATCTGTGGCTTGCCCTTGTGCAAAACCATGACATTATGCTAAGGCTATACACAGCAGGAAAATTTTTACTTTATTGCCCTGTCCTTTATTACAATATAACTCAGTATCATATGAGAATAAGAAGGGACTTTTCTATCACATAAGAAAAAAAAAAAAAAGCTGTATCACATTTCTTGAGATACCAGCAATATAAAATCTGGAGGAAAAAAGAAAAAAATCAAGCCTTACAATTTTAAATCAATTAACTCTACCTACTTAACTGCTTTCATAATTGCTTACTCTAATATTGACAACATAATTTTCTTGGGGGGGAAAAAAAAACCCTCAGCCAAGTAGTTTGTGTCTTCACCCTTCAAACAGTGCTTACATTACACCGTTTACATTTTAAAATAAAGTTATTTATGGTTTCTGTAAAATCCAATATACTGCAGAACATAAAAAGAACAGTTTTACATTTGAGACATACTTCACAGCATTTAAATCCAGAGTGGCATACAAGTAATACAAGCACTTCATCCGTTCTGTAGTTTCCAAATTGTGGGGAACCATGTATTGGGCAAAGATCCGTTCAACAAGTAATCTACAAAAGAACAGAGAAGGCACCTTATTGACTCTTTTTAAATGTACTAAATCTGTATATAAAAACACATTATTAAAGAAGTCCCTGCTCTCCTGAGTAGAAATGACATCACCAGATCAGCATCTTCTCTCTGTGTAAGAAAAGGAGTTAGGTGGATGTACTGTAACAGTGAACTATCATATCAGAACTACCATATCATAACCTTGGGCAAGTTATATATCAGGAACTCAATTTCCTTATCATCCCTATAATAAAGTGATTTTAAAAACTATACATATTCCTCCACATGCCAAATACTAAATTTCTATTAATTAAAGTTACAAACACCAGGCATAGACATACATGCCTGTAATCCCAACTACTCAGGAGGATATTGGTTCAAGAGCAGCCCAGGCAAAAAAGTTAGTGAGACACCATCTTAATCAATAAGCCAGGCACAGTGGTACATGCCTGTGATCCCAGCTATTCCAGAAGCCATAAAAGGATTGAGGCCTAAGGCTAGTCCAGGCAAAAACAGGAGGCCCTATCTGGAAAAAAAAAAAAAAAAAAGACTGGAGGCTTAGCTCAGGTAAGCACCTGCCTCACAGGTGCAAGGCCCTGAGCTGAAAACCCAGTACCAATAAAAATATTAATAAATAAGAGTTATAAAGAAATTTTTTAACTTTTCATAATATCAACATGAATAAAGACCTGCTTTAGAACTACTGAGAAAAGATCCCCTCTTACTTCCTTTACAAAATACTGCTGCTACCACCCCCACAACCTTGGCTCACCCAACATGGGGAGGGAAGGGGGCAAAAAGACTGGGGACAACACAAACAAGCTATGCAGCCTGTCCCTATCCAGAGGGATCCAGAAGAGAAGAGGCACTGACTCAAAAAGAAAAAACAAGGAGAGATGCAAACCTTTGTTCACTGATGTCATACACTCCAAAGTCTAGAAACCGTAATTTTAACACAACCAAAAAAAAAAAAAAACAAAAAAAATTATAGTTTCTTAGACAAT